TTACTATTATGTTACTCATATTAACAAACCTCCTGTTATTTTACTATTATTTTGCTATTATGCTGCTGTTATGCTGCCATTATTTGGCGTATATAAGGTAGAATAATAGCAGATTTTTTTTCTGTTATTTACTTATTATTCACCCTTTATTCATTCGTTCGACCTGTGTTGGGGGCTTTGTCATCCTCGTTCTTTTTCTTTTTTCCTTAACAAAATCGAGGATTACTTCTTGAACATCATCATCTAAGTCCTCAATTTCATTTCTATTATCCATATCAGCATCTTGAGGTGGAATCTCTTCAGTTTCGCCTAACCCTATAGTATCCTCTCTTCCTTCGACATTTTTCTTTTTTCGCAATAACACAGTATTTGTGATGGGTCTCTTCTGTTCATGTCATTCTGCTAGGAGGAATAGGGGCTCATCTTCCTTATGTATCCCTAAGTATGTAGGCTGGTTATTTTGGAGCCTATTAGGGGTTGGATTATTCAACAATGTGAACAAGGCCTGTAAGGTTTCTTGAACATTCGTATTATTTGAATTATTTACAGGTGGTTGTTGAACAGGTTGATTAGGATTATTGTTATTATTATTCTGGAAATTAGGACACTGTCGACTAATGTATTTAGGTCATCTGCAAGTAAAACAAATTATCACTGAATTCGTGTTAGGACTGCCCTATCGTGGTCACTGGGGTCTTCTTTAATCTTGATACTAAGTCATTATTTTATTGATGGCCTCTGTTAGCTTAAGTAAAGCCTCTTCTGTTTTATTATGGTTCGTTTAAGGGGCAACTGGAGTACCAACCATTCTCTGTAGTAAATATGTTGGATATCCTATAGGTTGGGCTATAAAAGCCATATGTGTCGGATTATTCCTATACATATTTTCAAAGGCTTTTGCTCTAGCGTAGGCATCTTCTAACATATTAGGGGTTAATAGAGACACTGCCATATAGAGTTCAGGATGCAATCCATTGATAAATATTTGGGCCTTCATAGTATTAGGATATTGGTGTCTTCCCAATTCGACTCTTCTAATGATCTCTTCAATAGATGAATGGTAATCATCAACAGTTTCCCCAGGTAATTGTTTTCGTTAAGTCAATTGAGTGAACCATTTGGCTTTCAATTCGGGTGTTCGAAATTTGGTGATAAAATTAGAAGTAAAGCTTGAAGCCGGAACATTGGGATTGTGCCATCGATCGATAACAGGATGTTGTATCCTTCACATAACCTACCAATTCGCCGCTGGTCCCCTCAATTTTGGAACTATTACTGAAATCTTTCGATTATCAGGGATCATGTTTGCATCGAATGCTTTCTCTATATCTTCAAGCCATGTAATTGGGTCTTGATCACCTACATAGAAGTCTTGATAGGGGACGGTACTTAATTCTCGGTTGGTTCTAGGAACATTTACTTGTACAGGTGGTGCATCTTGTAATTGCTGTACTAAGGCAGTGATCTGTATTGCTAATGCCTATATTGAACCTTGAGCCATTTACAGTTCTATCTAAAAATAAAATTTTTATTAATTGGTTCCACACAACTGGCACCAAATGTTACTATTGTTTGGAAGAGCTGTAGCAATATTTCATCCAATTTAACTTCAATAGTGAACCTTAATAAAAAGTTATTACAAGTTAGATAATATAGTACTATCGTAGGATGGTTTGTTTATGTGGATCGGTAATTTAATAAGGATCAGTTAACTAATTTATGTGGGATCAGGTTACTAATCAATTTAAGAGATTGTCGCACTTATGTAATAAATTTAATTAATCACATCAATTTAGTGACATCACTGATGTAATTAATAAAGGAGCGTTTAATTAATAATTTGAGTATATCGATTACGATATTTTGAAGTAATAAGAATTTTAACAGATTTTTTAATATAATGATTATAATTTAATTTTCTTATAAGGCAAATAATATTATAACAATAAAACTATTAAAACACTGGAGAATTCGATTCTTCTATTCTACCAATTTAAGATATCGAAGACTAACGACTTTATTAAAGGCCTGAAGACCCTGCTTTTATACTTTACAAAGTAATAAAAGATATGATAATCAAACGTTGGATCTTTGAAACTAGTAGTTTCGCTTGCTTATACTATCACTACTTAGTTTCAGTGATCTACGATTTTGGTATTTAAAGACTATTACAGGACCTAGATACGATTATACAAATTCGACTATGATCTTCAATTAAAAAAGTGTAAGTATATACAATTTTAGAAAATTCTATTTATAAAGACAAGGCTTGTACTAATTCTAAGTTTCACACAGCCTGACACACTGTTTATCATTACACCTTCCTCACATTACCACTGTAACATTAGTCATCTATATTATTATTTAAAATAGCAAAAAATATACTTTTATTATTACTATTATATTACTTATATGCAAGTTATAGTTCAAATATTCTTTTAAATTTTTAATATATAAATATTGGTTCTATAATTTAATAAAACATAGTTTAGAGTTTATCAATTTAATTAGAATAAATTTTTTTGTATTTTGTTGGTTTATTTTTAATCAGTTTATGCTAATTATAAAAACATATTTTCTTTTTTAAAGTTATTTAAGTAGAAAGTTATTGATTTTTTTGCTTTATATATTATAAATAGTTTAATATATAGTTATATACTGATTAGTTATTTTATAAGAAAATTTGTATTTGTAACAATAGTTTATTTAAAACAATATTTGTACTATTATAAATTTCTAATTCTAGTTATTTAATAGTTCTGTTAATTTATTTATAATTGAAAAATTTTTTTTAAATATTAAAATAAAATTTTGTCTATATTTTTATTAATAATTTAAAATAGTTACATATATATACAATATGGCCAAGGCCAATACTTACAGTTAGAACTAATTATTAAACTGCTAACTATATAGTTACTACTATTTATACAAAACAAATAAATTAAAAATTACATACAAAAATAAAAGATTAGTCTAATATATTTGTAATCTAAATCTACTAAAGTAGTTAAAGCATATTTAGATTTGGATCTTAATATATAATTTAATGATATGTTATATTTAATCTATAAAATAAACTAAATATTAATTTTGCAAATTGCTTGACCAATAAGAGGGTATATGTTAAAGCAAATATGTAATTAATTTGAAAGTTTGCAAAAATATAAAGAAGTGTAGTTTCTTTAAGAGTATATATGCCTAGTAGCTAGATTAGATAATGTTAAGAGTTTGTTAATAGGTTGAGAATAAGATTTATTTTGTTGTTTTTTCTAGTTAGAAAAATGAATATAAGATGTTTTTTATAATTGCTCAAATAATTGTTTATTATTGTTAAAAAGAATATTAATAATAACTTAAAGACAGTTTTATATGAAATATTAAAAAGTTTTGAATTATTAATATAAGTAACTTTAAAATGAGTTTTTTAAAAATAAGGTTAAGATAGAATGTATTAGGTAGTATATATAGAAGATTAAGAGCTAGATAATAAAAAATTTTATTAATTAAATCATATTTTTGATGAGTATCAAGATTAAATAAGTTGTTAAAAATAATTTGATTAGTAGAGATTTAAATAATTTGGTTAAGCAAAATAGGTTAGCATATGCTAATAAGAATAGAAGTAAGATAAATTACAATAAAAACAAGTAGTATTTAAGTATTAGTTTGAGTAAATAGTATAAAATAATAGATATATTAGCAACTTATTAAAAAGAATTTTAATTTTAAAAGATTTTAGTTAAAGTCTAAAATTAGTAATATTGTATAAAAGTTTTTAGTTATAATTTAAATAAAGTTAAGTAAATCTCTAATCAATATTTGATTGAAGTATACCTATATACTGTTGTAGTTTTGTGATGCTAATATAGCTAAGATATAAGTTTTACAGTTTGTTTAATAAAATATTTTGTAAAAAGTTTTATATAATGTTGTTCTTATTAAAGAATATAATAAGAGTTATAAAGATATGTATAATAAAATGAATAAAGTTATAATAATAAATGTTCTTTAGTAAAAAAATCTGCTTAATTATTAAAATAATTATCTAAATGCATCAGCACTTTGTAGAAGATAATTTGTAGTTTATATAATTTAATAATATTTGAAAGAATATGCCAAATAGACCACAAGTTAAATTTGAATAGCTTGTTAAAATAAGTTGAATTAAGTTAAAGGTTATTAAATTAAGAAATTACTAATTAGGAATTAGTAAAAATATTAATTACTAAATTGTAAGAAGCTATTAAAATTGTAGCAATAATTAAAAAAAGCTTAGTTTTGTATAATAAGATTCAGAATTGTATTTTAACAAAAAAGAAGTTAATAATTTAATTATTATTATCAACTTGGATCTAACTAATACCTATTATGCATTAGTTAGTACCAATATTAATTATAAAAATATTAATATAAAAAGATAGTTGTTGATAAAAATAATTGTGATAAGAAATAAATATAAATTTGTTAATAGCTTTATTTGAGATAAAAATTTTAGAAGTAATTGAGTTAGTAATAAAAATAATAGATAGAGAAGGAATACAAGTTAAGTGCTTAACAGTTATAAAAAAAATAAGATCTAAGTAATTTGCATTAAGGTTGAGTTGATGTTTAAAACTAGTTCTACCAAGAAATTATGATAAAATAATTGCAAAAACTTTAACAATAAAGTTTAATTAATTTTATAAGAATTAAAATAATTTCTTGTACATTATTTATATTTAATAGAAGGTAAAAAATAGAATTTTAAGTAATTTAAATCTATATTAAAAGTTCAAAAAGTAATGAACTAGTGGTTAGATAAATGAACATATTTTTATATTGTTTAATAATAATCTTATTCTTGTAATATAAAAATAATTAGATTTTAAATTTTGTAAATATTTTAAATATGTTAATAGTATAATAGACATAAGGATTATAACTATAGATGTTAATGAAACTGATGTAAATAGTAGTAAAACTGGTGAAATTTAATATAACAGCCAATTAGATTTTAGATAGCTACTAGTTTCATTAGCATTATTTAGTTTCATTAGCATCTAAAGTTATAACTAGGTAATTGGTAATATAATAGTAAATTTCAGTATTAGAAATATGCTAAAATTGTGTTTTCTAAATAGAAAAACCAAAAGAGTTTTTAACTTTTAGATAAGTGTAATAGTTTAAATAAAAAATATTTTTAGTTTAATATAATACTATTATCAACTATACAAAATTGTTAAAGATATATAATATTTAATTGTCTAAGTTGCTTTTTAAAAGTTGAATATTTAGAATGCTATAATAAAATTAATTTTAGCAATTGCTCTTTATTACTAATTGTATAAAACTATATTAGATTAGAATTAGCTAAAATTTTTATATAAAGATAAATAAGAAGTTAAATAATTTTGAAATTTAATAAGTGTCTATTAGAACTATTGATAGTTGATTTAGAATTATATAAAATATTAATAAGAGATTTTAAGTTGTTTTGTATGTTTTGTAACTATTGAAGTCTGATTAATTTTATAATATTAAGAAAGTCAAGATTGTTAATTTGTTATAGATAATTAAAGAAGTGATGCTAAAGTTGAATATCCTAAATATTATAAATATTATATTAGTATTGGATAAGCATTATACTATTTAATATAGATCTGTAAAGATAAAACTTGTATTTTGCTAAAGTAAGGTATTTAGATAAAATTTAGCTACATATAGTATAAGAAAGAATAGTATTATATAATCTATATTTCAAAGTTAAAATAATAACTGTATTAATAATATAAGTAATTTGTTTGTCTGTAATTTTCTTTATATTAGCAATATTGATAAGATTAAAAAAATTTTTTATTAGTTTAATGCTTAAAATTATTTGTTAAAGATGATGCTAAAATTTGAATGATCATAAAAACTAAAAACTCTATTGGCTAATTATTCTAACTCTAACTAATCAGATGTGTTAATTTCATAATCATTTAAATTTTAGCATTATTCTTATATTATTTATTATTAAGTGTAAACTAATATTTAAAAAACTTGAATAATTAGTTTTTAAAAATAAGGTAAATTAAAAATACAGAAAATTATATTAAAATAGTAAAGAAATTTGTAGCTAAAATAAATTTAGTTAAGTTAATTTGAATATTGTTTATTGGTAGAAAAATATAGCAGTTTTAATTATTAGGTTAAGAACTTTTTTGAACTATTGTTAACCTGTAGTTTTTCTTTAACTACAGTAATAACAGAAGCTACTTAACTATAGTATGATAACTATAATTTGACAGATTCTATACAAAAATCTACACAAGACTTTAACAAAATACAGAGTGATTTGGGATTTTAAGGCAGAAGCAACAATAGATAGTATATGAAGATACTAAATATTGCATTCAGTTTATTAACTATGAAATGTATGAAGACACTTCCT